TCTCCAATATACTTTGATTGCTGAAGTTCTTACATCCAAGGAGGTCAATGGGGAGGTTTTCACAGACCGCTTCATGTCTCTCTGGAGGGGGCGCGAGGGTGTCTCAATCCGAGATATCGGGAATCGAATATTCTTAGCCAGGTTTGCCGGCCAACGAGATCTTCTGAGAGTGGTGGAGGCAGATCTGCCATGGACTTTTAAAAACGATCTAGTCATGGTGGCGGACCGAACAGAAAATGGCAGGGACCGGTGGGCACCCTTATCCGAAGGCACTTTCTGGGTCCAAATGCATAATGTTCCGGTGTTAAGTATGACCCAGGCAGTAGCATAATCTATTGGAGGACTGATGGGTATCGTTTGCAAGGTGGATAAATCCGGAAGCAGGGATTGTATTGGCAGATTTCTCAGGGCAAAAATAAATTTCAATGTCCGCGAACCCCTTATGCGAGAGACCTTTGTGAATTTCCCTGACGATGGTAAGATATGGGTTGATTTCAAATATGAAGCTTTACCTAAATATTGCTTGGCCTGTGGAATGCTGGGACATGCTACTAGGATATGTCATGAAAACCAGAATGCTAACAGGGACGATGGAGGGAGCCCAGGAGAGAGGAATGAAGAGTTTGCGTTCCGGGGTTTAGATGCAACATATGACTTAAGAGAAAATCCGCTGAGCTCTGGAGGCAAGCGTCATGTATCTCAGGGATTAAATGGGGGGAGGAAAAGTTATGATAGTTGGAAGGATGAGAAGAGCGAGGACAGGGAAGGGGGATGGCGATCAGCTCGCTCCTCCACAGCCTCTGGAGCAGGTACACAATTTCAACATTTCGGATCTAGAGTTAATAGTGAAAGTGGTGGCACTGATAAGGCAGATGAAGACGAGATGGATACTGCAAATTCTCCAAATAAGCCTAGATGATCATCAAACAAACAAAAATATGATCGTCTAGAGCTAGAAATGAAGATACGGAATCAAAGGAAGGGGGCTGAAATTGCCAGGGAAGCAAGATAATTAGCTTTTGACGCTGGTCTCATTGGACCGAGGAGTCGTAGGCCCTGGAGCTGAACATGTCACCCTTTACGACCCACCTGAGCCTGATGTTTCGATGCCTGTACCTGAGGCAATTCCAGTAAATGAACAGGGTTTTGATCTAAATATCGAGCCCGATATTGTTGGAGTGGGAGCTTTTGCTGCGACGGAAGGGGGTTTGACGACTGAGGATACGACTAATGGGGAAGAATCTGCAGGAATCATGAAGCACACTGAGGATGATCCATTCGATTTAGAGGAAATCATTGAAGCGGTAACAAAGGAAAGCAAAAATAGGAAAAGATCTTTCCGTGATACTGAATCCACGACGCCGGTTCTCTGTTTGGAACCGAGAAGCACAAAACAAAGAAGGTGCTTATTTGCAGAGGCGGAGGAGACCAGCCTTAAGGGGTCTTCCAATGCCCCATGAAGCTAATCACTTGGAACTGTCAGGGTATCGGGGGTGACCTGACAGTTGACAATTTGTTGGAAGCAAACCGACTTCACACCCCTGACATAGTGATACTGTTGGAAACAAAAAACAAGAGTCATCGCTATGGGTTTTTGAAAAAGAGTCTAGGCCTGGAATATATGTTTGCCGTAGAGCCTCACGGTCTCAGTGGCGGACTGTGTGTATTCTGGAAAGATGGTTCTCAGGTTACTTTGCTTAAGTCTGAGAATTTTGTTATAGAAATGAAGATATGGGATGAAATTTTAAACAAACAGTGGCGACTCTTCGCTATCTATGCTAGTACGGATGAGAAGAAGAGGAAGGATCAATGGAAGAGGTTGGGGAAAAGAATCGAGCAGGAGTCGGATTGCTGTCTTCTAATTAGAGACTTTAATGACATACTTTGCAATGAAGAAAAGGAAGGAGGAAACTACAGACCGGCTTCCAGTATGAGAGACTTCAGGGAGTTCGTGGCCAGGAATGAACTCATGGACCTTGGCTACGAAGGATATCCATTCACTTGGAGAAATAACAGAGAATCCCTCCCAATCCAACAAAGGCTTGACGGGGGCTAGCAACGATGGGCTGGAATAATACATATCTGGACACGACAATCAGACATTTGGTGCTAGAAGGATCGGATCATGCCATGCTAGTTCTCTCCACTGAATTGATACAAGTGCGGAGGGGAAGAAAGTTCTCGTATGATGCCCGGTGGAGCAAACTGGAAGAATGTCGGGAGCTTGTGGCACATGAATGGGAAGGTCATCTCGGGGGTTCCCTTGCCTTTCGGATTTGTGAAAAATTAAAAATGCTCAGGAAGAGGCTTAAGGTGTGGTACCAAGGCAGGGGCAGAAACTCAAAACAAGCCATTGATAATTTGAAAGATGAGATCAGGAGGGCTTACACATCCAATCAATTCGCCTCTGAGGTGGTCAAACTGAAAGAAAGAGATCTTCGGTCTGCCATTAGAAACGAAGAAGCCTACTGGAAAGCTAAATCAAGAGTTCAGTGGCTAAAATAGGGAGATAAAAATACAAAAATTTTTCATGCTCAAACGTTGAAAAGAAGGAGATACAACCAGATAAAGGGTCTAGAGGACTCCAACGGGAAGTGGCATACCTGTGATAAAGATATCTGTGATATTGCCAATTCTTATTTCACGGGTTTATTTCAGTCCTGCAGGCCTAGTAAAATCAGGGAAGTTGAAGACTGTATGGAGACCAGGGTGTCACCGGAGGACAATCGTGACCTTGTGGCACCTATCACTGATGAGGAAATTAAAGAGGCGACGTTTCAAATTCCCTCCGAAAGAGCCCTGGGGCCTGATGGTTTCTCTGGATGTTTCTATAAAGACCACTGGACGACAGTGGGAGAGGATGTGGTGAAGGCTATCAAAGCTTTTTGGCACTCTGGAAATATGCTGAGGAAATTAAACCACACAAATTTAGTACTTATTCCTAAGGTTAAATGTCCAAAGAATATGTCACAATTCAGACCTATTGCCCTCTGCAATGTTATCTACAAGATCCTGGCAAAGGTGATCACCAACAGACTCAAAAAGATAATGCCGAAGGTGATTGGTGAAAACCAATCTGCTTTTGTTGCTGGGAAGCAAATTCAGGATAATATTCTGGTGGTTCACGAGATCCTCCACTCCCTGAATCATCAAAGTAAAGATATGCAGAAAGGAATGGCCATTAAGTTGGACATGGCAAAGGCTTATGATCGGGTAGAGTGGGAATTTCTTTTCTCCATGATGTCTAAATTGGGGTTTGCGCCGATGTTCTGCAACAGGGTAATGGAATGCATTTCTACTGTATCCTTTAGTATCCTCGTCAACGGCGCACCGACGGGTTACATTCAACCGCAGCGGGGCTTGAGACAAGGGGATCCTTTATCTCCTTTCCTTTTCTTAATATGTACTGAGGGCTTTTCCAGCTTGATCAGGAAAGGGATGGAGCGTGGAATTCTACACGGCTACAAGTTCACAACTAACGGGATTCCTCTCACCCATCTCTTTTTCGCTGACGACTCGGTCCTCTTTGGGAATGCTACGGTTGAGGAGGCCCAGGGTGTGGCAGATATCCTGAACACGTACGCTAGCGGTTCCGGGCAGGAAATTAATTTATCCAAAAGTTCGATTTTCTTTGGAACTTCGACTTCTAAAAGGACCAAGAAGAGGATTGGGAACACGCTGGGGATACCATATAAGGATGGTTTCGGGAAGTACCTTGGGCTGCAAGCTGATTTTGGACATTCAAAGAAAGCTGTCTTTGCGGAGATTCGGGATAAGATCGAAGCTAGGCTTGCAGGATGGTCGGAGCAATTCCTTTCCCAAGCTGGAAAGGAAGTCATGATAAAGGCAGTTGCTATGGCTTTGCCAAACTATGCCATGAGCTGCTTCAAACTCCCCATAGGGGTATGTAGGGATGTAGAGAAAGCAGTCCGGAGCTACTGGTGGAGAGGTAACACCCAGAAAAGGGGATGTCATTGGACTTCATGGGATAGGTTAATGAAACAAAAATCGGCTGGTGGTATGGGGTTTAAGGATATCCAGTGCTTTAACCTGGCCTTCCTAGCTAAGATTGGATGGCGTCTGATCCAAAATCCCACTTCCCTACTTGCAACTGTATTAAAAGATAAATACTACCCTGGGAAATGTTTCAAGGATGCTGGAAAAGGAAGGAATACTTCGTGGGGATGGAAAGGCATCTTTGAAGGCCACATGGTTCTTCAACACGGTGTCAGATGGCGGGTAGGAGACGGGGAAAGTATAAATATCCAAAAGGACCCATGGTTACCGACACCTACCACCTTCCTGGCTAAACCATTGGATAGTCTTGAAGAAACCAAGGTAAGGGATTTGATTGACCCGATCTCAAAGTCTTGGAAGGAAGAGGTCATCTTGGCGGGGTTCAATCGGGATGAAGCTAGGAAGATTTTAAGTATACCTCTAAGCAAATCTGGATGTATTGACAGATTAGTTTGGCATTATACGGTGAACGGCGATTACTCGGTTAAAACTGGGTATGGAGTGGTAATGAACTTGATGGAGAATGGCGCCCTGGGTAAGAAAGGACGGGGTGCGCCCAGTGAGCACCGCAAGAACAACTTGACATGGAAAAGGATATGGAAGTTGCAGGCTCCCAACAAAATCAAATTTTTCATATGGAAGTGCTGCAATAAGGCTCTGGCGGTGCGACATAATCTGCAACGGCGTCAAATAAGAGTCGAAAATATCTGTGGGGTATGTAACACCTTTGATGAATCGGAAAATCATTTGTTCTTTCAGTGCGAATTTAGCCATCGTTTCTGGTTTGGCTCTCCACTACACATAAATTCTCATGAGTTGGCTGGTGTCGACTTTCTGGAAAGTTGGGATAAAATATGTACCAGCACCAAGAATATGGAAAAGGCAGAGGAGATTCTCCAGGAGGTTGCGTTTGGTCTGTGGAGACTCTGGAAGAACAGAAATGATGTGGTATTAATGGTGTACACAGACAACACTTGGAAGTCATGATGCTATGGAGAAAGAACATTTCTGAGTATCGTGAGGCTATGCCCCTGAACCTCAAGAGCGATTGTTATCTGATCTCCAAAACTCTCAAGACGGTGCAGCGTCCGAAGCTTCACTGGACGAAACCAAAGTTTGGAATCATCAAGGTGAATACCGATGCGGCCTGGTGCGGATCCTCTTTGCGAACTGGAGTTGGATGGGTGGGCCGCGATTTTGCGGGGCTGCTTCAATTTGCTGGAGGATCGGGAACAGGTATCTGTCATAGTGCGGCGGCTGTTGAGGCTTGTGCTATTCGGAGTGCTTTGATGGCTTGTATTGATAATGGTTTTGATAAGGTGATAATTGACTCTGATGCTTTAGTTATCATTAAGATGCTAAGTAAGGTATCCCCACATGACTACAGTATTGAATGCATCCTTGGTGACATCGAGGTTCTAGTACAGAGGTTAATGTCAGTGACGTTTTCGTTTGTACCTAGGGAGAGCAATCTTGCGGCTCACTCGGTGGCGAAGTTTGCCTTGCAGCAAGGTGGTGATTATGTTTGGGACTGTATTGGGCCGAAGTTTTTGTTTAACATTTTAGCCCACGATGTAAACATTCATATTCGTCTTTAATCTATTCTATCTTTGGTTAAAAAAAAAACAGGGAAGGGAATTCAAATTCCCCTATTTTAGCATTCTCCAAAACCCTATTTGAATTTCTTTTGATCAGTTCTTCTGCACAAACTTCTCCCGTACCATTTTTACTGTTCGTTATTTTTTAGAGAGAAGAACAGAACGGTCAGTAAAGCTTCATACCTTTTTTTTTTTTTTTTTTGGATTTGAATGAATATTCTGCAACTTCATTTTTTTTGTTCTTGATTTGTTGCCGGTGTCTTTTGGTGGTGACCCCTTGCTTTTGAAGGTTTGCTTGATGTCTTCGTACAAAACAGTAGGACTCTTTTTGTTTCTTTGATTTTGATGTATCCTTTCTTCCATTTATCCTTATTTGTATGTTATTTTTTTGTTTCAACAATACTTGTATGGAAGGAAACAGTGAGTATTCATCTACTGTACCATGAGGAACAAAGGAAATTATTGTGCCTTCTGTTTCGAGGGGTCCCTCCTTTTATTATTATTTTATATTTTTTTTAATGCATGCATGAGACCTGGAAGTATTCAACGCATGCATGGGATTTGGATGCAGTGGGTATTTGGTCTTACTATACCACAAAGACAATTTTGTACCTTCTTTTCCGAGGAGCCAACCTCCTTCAATTTTATTTTTTATATATTTTTTTTGTTCAACACACCCTATTCACTACGATATTAGACGACTGGGATAAAATTGCATATATCTTAAACTTTTCTTTTTGGATGTCACGTTGCTTCAAACTAGTCCATTAAAAAAAGAATTCCTCAGTGATAGACCCCTGCAACTCTTATTATTTATACTAAAGCCCATCTAATTTTAAATATCTAAAGAAAACCAAAATTTGAAATAGCCCACCATATATGTAAAATAAATGACTTCTTCTCACAAAATATTTACAATATATGCAACAAAGATGTTATTAATCACCCTAAACTTTGTTGAATAAGATTACAGTACACAACTCTAATATAAGTGTTTTAGAGACAAAACAAATAAACAAATTACTTGTATTACATTCACAAAATATTACAACAAACAAACTCACAAAGACACAATTTTAGAAGTTATGACACTCTCTCACTTTCTAGAGATGAACTCTAGAAAGTTCACACTCCTCTCAAAGACCTTATATCTCACTCTCACACTTAGGGTGAGACTCATTCTTGGTTGCTTCTCACTTCTTGGTTATGTGCTTGCTTCTTGTTGCTTCAAATGAGGTGGATACCTTGTCCTTTTATAGGCATGGATAGAGCCTTGGAAAAGCATGGAAACACCATGCTAGAAATATCTAGCTAATTCTATAACTTCCTTTGCAAGAATTAACTATACTAATCTTGCATGTTGGTTGAAATCTCACAATTATTCTAGATTTTTACTAGCTCAAGTGTTAATTGATTTTCATGGGTTGGGCCCTTATTCTTTGGGCTGGTTAAATTGATCGTTACTTCTTGACACTTAGGTAATTTGGAGTTAAAATTTAATGTTTGAAAATGGTTATCATATACTCATCTGACTAACTGTGTTAGCCTAATGCCCTTGGTAGAAGAAAGAGTATCTTCCATTCAA